ATGGGAGCCCTGGCCGCGCGCTGTGTGTCTCCGCCTCCGCCAGGGAAACTTGAAGCAGGAGAAAAGTTTGTACAGAGGCTGGAAGGGCAAGAGCGGAGCTCGAAACCCGGCAGCCCGAGAGGAAGATGAACTGCCCCAGGTCAGAGCCTCAGGCCGAGTGGACCTCAAGCCGCCCCCAGGGCACCATAAGCTGTCTCAGCTGCAGCCACCAGCCCCGGTAGCCGTCCGCGCTGCCCTGGGCTGGGAAGGAGGGCGACCCAAATCGGGGACAGAAGCTCAGTGCCACCTGCGCGCGCGGCTGCACACCTGAGCGCTGTCCGCCCGCGAACGAGACCTGCGGACCCCTCAAAGCTTGGATCGTCTTTGAAGAAACGAAGAGAGAGAGAGAGAGAGGGGAGGGGGGAGAGAGAGAAAATCCACGATCAGTCTTCGCTGACCCATCCCGCTGCCCTTCTGGTTCTCCAAGTTTTTGAAAGCTGACCACGGACGGACTCCAGTTCCGGAAAACTGGCAGCCAGCGAAAGTAGGCTCTTAGAAAGCGAAGGCTTGGCAACTCCACATTGAGCAGGGCAAGGCTGAGTGCAGGTTGAAGGCGTGTCCAGGACAACTGAGGCTTGACCCTGGAGGCTTACGCAGCTGCCATCGCCGCGGCCACCACAGGTGAGGTAGGGTTGGGGACACGGGGCAAGTGTGGTGAGTGAGAGCTCCTTGAGCAGAGCCAAGGAGGAAAGAGCGCGCTCTCCAAATTATCTAACATATCTTGCTTTCAATGAGACTTTTATTGACTCAGAATCTGCCGGGAAAACGAGAGAGCAAATTTTCCCTTGAGATAGGTCTTGTTCATCTTGGCAGTGAAGTGAGTTGGGTTGGGGGAGGAGGAGGAGAGAATGGCAGTATCAATTTATAAATATTAATGCCAGTAGAGTGGTGCTGCTGGCAGGACGTATCCGGACCCTGGAGATTTCGATAGCCGCAATTGGTAAGTGGCTACAGTCCACAATGTAGGATCGAGTTGCTCCCCTGGTCTCACCACGTACTGTTTCTTGGGCGCGGGTCTGACACCTTGCAAGTGGTCATTTCCACTCATCGCCTCTTTGTCTATCTTCTTCCACCCCCAGACCCAGCCTCGCACTCCAAGACTGTACTGCCGGCCACCACCATGGCCACGCCTGGGGCCAATGCGTCCGCCCAGGCCTCCGACCGACTAAACAGCCCGGTGACCATCCCGGCGGTGATGTTCATCTTCGGGGTGGTGGGCAACCTTGTGGCCATCGTGGTTCTGTGTAAATCGCGCAAGGAGCAGAAGGAGACGACCTTCTACACACTGGTATGCGGGCTGGCGGTCACCGACCTGCTGGGCACGTTGCTGGTGAGCCCTGTGACCATCGCCACGTACATGAAGGGCCAGTGGCCCGGGGGCCCGGCACTGTGCGAGTACAGCACCTTCATCCTGCTCTTCTTCGGCCTGTCGGGGCTCAGCATCATCTGTGCCATGAGTATCGAGCGCTACCTGGCCATCAACCACGCCTACTTCTACAACCACTACGTGGACAAGCGGCTGGCGGGTCTCACGCTCTTCGCGGTCTACGCGTCCAACGTGCTCTTCTGCGCGCTGCCCAACATGGGCCTCGGCAGCTCGCGGCTGCAGTACCCGAAAACCTGGTGCTTCATCGACTGGACCACCAACGTGACGGCGCACGCCGCCTTCTCCTACATGTACGCGGGCTTCAGTTCCTTCCTCATTCTCGCCACGGTGCTCTGCAACGTGCTCGTGTGCGGCGCGCTGCTCCGTATGCACCGACAGTTCAT